TAGTCCTGACCCAGAGGGAGGACGGGGTGGACTGGGGTTGGGCCTGAGGCAAGGATGTCCTGTCCTGGCAGCTATGATGCTTGAGCCAGTAAGAATAATCAGATTGTGTTCAAGAACATTCTGAAGTCAAAGCTGTAGGTCCAGGTCCAGAGTGGGTCATGAGGGTAAAGATCCCGAGGAGCTAAGGGGTGTGACCCAGAGAGTCGCGGGAGCACGAGGCTGAAACAGCGTGTGCCCAGGGCACCAGCGGCTGGTCCGTGCGACAATCCCAATCCCACAGCAAGTCAGAGCCGCTGTGGGGCAGAACGAACAGTCTGTGGAAGCCGGTTACCATTGTCGGGAGGGTCTCTGGGAATGAGGTCTCGCTCAGCCACCCCACGAGACATTCTAGTTCTGTTGTTCTTCACTTTTACCTTTTAAGGCCAGCTAGTAAGGCCTGTGCAACGTGGCCGTCCTGAGCAGGGTACCCACCAGAGCATTCTGCTGAGCTACAGTGGGGCAACTGAGAACATCAGAGGGAGTCATGAAAATGATTCAAAAAGAGGAACAATGGCCACAGATGGCTAAGTAGAGACAACAGCTGAAACTCTTTATCAGATTTTCCGTAGAAGCTGTGGGTAATATGTGACCTGACTGTGACTCGAGCAGAGCTACAGAGAGAGAGCATCTCTGCAAACAAGCCGCAGCGGATACTCAGGACAGTCACGGGAGGAGGCAGCCTAATGTAGCAGTCAAGGGCTGGGGCTTGGGGATGAGGCAGATTTGGGATTGTCCTCCCAGGAACTGGAGCAAGTTCATGGCAGGACATGGACTTTGTTTTCTCGTCTTTGAAAGACATTGAATACGCACTAAAAATTCCCTGGAAGGACACACAATTTAGGAGAAGGTTGCACAGATGGGCAGCAAGATGGGAGAGACATTTTTAATCTTTATACGTTTTTATTTTTGAACCATGTAGATGTGTATCCTGTTAAAAAGAGTACATGAGAAAAAAAAAAGACAGGTGATGATGGCTTATATCTTTTAGGATTATACAAGTCTGACGGATGGTAATTACTCACATAAATTTGCTGTTAGTGTTAGAAGTACAGGGATGTTGGCTGGGTCATCTGTAAGTATTTTTTGCCCTTAGATACCCAGCAGTCTCTGTTACGTATTCAGATCAGTGCCCTATGCAGACATATACAAACATAGTTTTATCTGAAGCATTTAGAAGTTGCAGGCATGATACTTTTATCTCTAAATACTTCATCATGTGTCTTCTGAGTACAACTACATTCTCTTACATAACAACACAGAAATCAAAGTCTAGGAATCTAACCATTATGCAAGACTCTTATCTAATGTATAGTCCATATTCAAATGTCCCCAGACGTCCTTGCTATTTGCTTTTTGATCCAGAACCCTATGTAAGACCTTCCCTTGCATTTGTTTGTGTTCTTTAGTTTAGAGCATTTCAGTGGGCCTGTTTTGTCTTTCATGACATTGGCATTTTTGAAGAATTTAGTCCTGCCCTCTCTGCTCCAATGTTTATATCTGTTTCCTTATATGTAGACTCAAATTCACTGTTTTGGGGAGGAATATTATAATAGGTAATGTTCCAATGCAACCTTTGATAAAATTTTTTTTTCTTTTTAAAAATCCTTTTCTTTTACATGTGTGAAGTCAGGAGTAATTTTTAAAAATTCTAATGTTTTTATTTTCAAATATCCAGCAGGATATTTGACAAATGACTCTTGCCAACACATCATGATTGAGGTACTGGGCTATTCGTACAGATCACTCGATTTAAGAGAGACTTACCTGGGATCTTCTCATTCATCAACCCATAGAATCTTGCAGTGAGTTGCCATTCCATGTCTCAAAAATAAATATGCTTCTGGTTATTCATGTTCTGTGTATGACCTTTTGACAATTTTTGATCTTTTGCAGCCTTCTGAAGGAAATCTGAGCAGATCTGGGAAGGAGATATTGGCCTCAAGGTGCGAGGCAGCAATATGCTGAGGGTTCTAGGAATGGCACCTCATTATGGGAGTGCTTGCTGAAATTAAAATACCACAGCAGCCCTGGCCAGTTTGGCTCAGCGGTTAGAGCGTCGGCCTGCGGTCCGGAGAGACCCGGGTTCGGTTCCCGCTAAGGGCATGTACCTCGGTTGCAGTTTGTCCCTGGCCCTGGTTGGTCGTGCGGGTGGCAGCCACTCGATGTGTCCCTTTCACATCGATGTTTCTCTCTCTCTCTCTCCCTCCCACTCTATCTGTACAAAAAATAGAAAAATGTCCTCGGGTGAGGATTTAAAAAAAAAAATAAATAAATAAAAAAAAAATAAAATACCACAGCACCCAGTGTTCTAATATAGTGAGTTCTGCAATGTGCACTAATGCAGATAAACTACAGATGGCTCAAAGCACAGACTTAGCACTTCAGACAATTTCAGATAAATCAAAAGGTGCTTCCGGAAAAGGGAAAAAGGTCTTGAGACCCATTATTTCTCTTTCTTCTGAGGAAAACACCCAATGGGAGACACAAAATAATGTTGAAATGTGGAATGGCTCAGAAAAAGAAGCATCAAAGAAAAAGAAAGATTTATTTCTCTAATATTTTATCTGTGGTTACAATGGATGATGCAGTCAAGCTTTCATGACAAAGGGTTTTGTCAGCTGAAGAGGAGTGGAACAGGCCAAATCACCACAATTTACCAGCACCGCCTGCTATGGCCTCTTAGCACAAATAATCCCTGCGGATCCATAACTGAGCTCATCTCAGAAAAGTGGCTTTTTCATAGCCCAGATTACAGTTCAATTACTCAGAATTGTTTTTTGCAGAGAATATCTCAGTTTGAAAGATATTTGTTGAAGACCTAATATGATACTAATAAAGAACAAAAATGATTATGGGCTCTTTCATGTCTGTAATTTTTCTCTACTTGCCTTTATTTAGAACTCTGATGAGATGAGATATTGTCTTTTATAACTCCTAGGAGTGATTTAAAAAACATTTTTTTTCTTAATTGATTTTTTTTTTAAAGGGAGATAGAGGAAGGGAGAGAGAAATAGGAACATCGATGAGAGAGAACATTGATTGGCCGCCTCCTGCATGCCCCGGCACTGGGGATCAGGCCCACAACCTGGGCATGTGCCCTGACTGGGAATCGAACTGGTGACACCTTGCATGGGTCGATGCTTAACCACTGAGCCACACTGGCCGGGCTTTCTTAAAAATTTTTTTTCTGCGGAGTGATGCTAATCAAGGTCTAGGGATTTGATTTTTTTTTTTTAGCTGCTTTAAAATATTGTAACGGATTTTTGCCAAGAAGAAAACTTTTTAAGTGATTCACATTTTTATGGTAGGTATGTGGATGCTGATCTCACAGGGTTCCATATCTAAAAGTATAGTGAAGCAATATTATAAAGTTCTGATTGGTGTTACTTTTACATTGCTATAGTTTACCTATTTTGACTTTATGAGTTAATTTTTCATGTAAACAATTGCTATCACCAAAACTTTTTAATGAAACATGAATAAGAAAAGATTTAAATTGGGATAAACTAAGACCATAAAGTACCAGAGTCCATGGACATAATATATATGTTTTAAACATTTTAATTGCCTCTCATTTTATCAGTGATTTGTCTAACATTACCCATTAACATTTAAGGATTACGTACTTATTGGCTACCGTCTTTCTTAACACCCAACTGAATCCCACCTAGTGCGTTAGGAAGCCAAATGGAAGAATGAGCTCAAATGTGTGACCTTAGGAAAGTTATTTCACTTCTCTTAGCCGCAGTTTCATTATTTATGAAATGGGAGAAATTATGCACCTACTTTTCAGAATTACTGAGAGGAGTGCATGAGATAATACACACAGCATATCCTTCGATAAATAGTAGTTATCATCTGTCATGGTTTAACCCCGAGGCCACCTTTTTTCATGAAGCATCTCCTTACTCCTCCAACCCACAACCTAAGCCTACACTAATGCTTTGTTATGTGTTTGAAATCGTTGTGCACCTATCTCACATACGGCAATATGTTCTCCCAGGCAGAATGCCAGCCTTGAGGGTTATTCCCCATACCTCATCCAGCCCTGCTCAACAGTAACCACAGTAACCAATAGCTTGGAAGTCCTCACAGTTCAGTGATTCTCAGCCAGGTCCTGGGTGAGAATCAGTCTTTCCTGCAGGAGCTGAGACTGACTTAGTCACACAGAAATGTGGCATGGTGGGAGTTACTGTTTATTTAACTTTGGTGGAACCGCAATACACACAACAGGTGCAGCCTAACAGGTGCAGGTGAATGTGGTAGTGCAGGAGCAGGAGGTAGGTGGCAGTGTCCGGAGGGCATTCCTAGCGAGGCAGAAACCTCTTGAGGGGCAATGGCCTTCTAGGCTGTGCAGTGGGGAGTGCCCTTCAAACACACCAGCCCGGGTGTGGTACCTCGGCCCAGCTGCCCCCTCACGGGCAGCACTGGAAGGATCCAAGCTGAGGATCCGGGAGGTTCCAGACTCACCCCGCAATCCAGGGGAGATCCTGAATTCAGAGGCTATCACTGTGGGGAGAGGTCACCTCCTGAAGTGGCAGCCAGAGGCACTGTCAGAGCAGCCAGAGTGAGGGAACAGGCACAGATCACGAGAGGAAGATGCTGCGGAACATTTAGTGGCCCGGGGCCGGCAACAAGTCATTTGTTTCCCTGTGGCGTCGACCTGACCCGGCCCACTTCGGTGCGCCGCTGCGCTGAGTCAAGAAGTGACTGCAGCAATCCGGCTCCTGGCCACTGCCGCCCGGGCCCCGCCCCCGCTCCGGTCCCCGCCCCCGCTCCGGTCCCCGACTGGCTGACCAGGCCCCGCCCCCGCGCACTGCCCCGCCCCCGGCTCCGCCCTCAGCGCGGCCGCAGGGGTGGGCCGCGCCGCCACGTGCTCAGACGCAGGGAGCTGCCCGCCCGCGGGGCTGAGTGCGGGCGGAGCTCTGGTCCCGCGGCACCAGTCGTACCAGGACGGCGACAAGCATGGCCACCGCGGCGGCGGCGGCGGTGATGGCCCGTGTGGCCCGGGCGAGGGCGGCGGCGGCGGCTCTGCGGAGCGGTTGCGGGCCTGCAGCCCGGGGGCGGCTGCGCGCGGGTCCCGCACGGCCCTTGTGCACAGCACCTGGAACCGCTCCGGACATGAAGCGCTACCTGTGGGAGCGCTACCGGGAGGCGAAGAGGAGCACGGAAGGTGAGTGCCGCGGCGCCCCCCCTCCCCGAGCCTCTGTACTTGTGGGGATCCTCCCCGCAGGGCTGGGGCGTCAGGTCCCCTCCCACGAGGTTAGCCGGGAAGCGTGTATCCTCGGACCCGCGCAGGACCCGCTGCTGATCTCCAGGGCCCCAAATCGTGACCCTCTGTCGCTCCAGTCGCCCCCCAATTGCGGGCATCATCGCCTCTGCATTGAGATTCGGGGAAACGCGGAAAAATGCGCCTCCAGAAACTTTACAACTCTTGCCTTTCTCCTGTTTGGAAAGATGTTTTATAAATTATTGGGATTTTTAGTTAGAAATCTGCACGGAAGCGCTTTGCTTTCCCGGGGGTTACACCGACATCGCTTGGGAGACGGTCACCCCCACGCACCGTTAGGTATTGTTATTAACAAACACTAATAATAGTAACGCCGTAATCCGGCAGACTGCGGATTCCTCTGGAGCGGGACTGCTGGGCAGGTGACAGTGGCCGGGGGCTAATCTCTTTCCCTTCTTTGTTTTAGAGGATTGGTAGGTTTTGCTGTGTTTGAAACAGGAGGGTTTTCCGGTTGGTCGTGTTCCTGGCAATCTGCTAACCTCAGGGAGGAGGGGACTCCAGGGAGTGACTACTTTGTGGCCTGGTGAACTTAAAATTAGCCTGGTTCCCGTTGTTGCTAAAGGAAACGTGGAAAGAGAAAGAGGACCGAGTAAATATTAGTGTCAGGCACATAGATTGTCTCCCGGAATGGTTCCCATACCTACCGAGGGAGGTGCCACATAGATGGGAAAGGTGAGATTCAAGTTTCAGGAACCTGGTGTTGGTCACACCTTGACTTGGATCTGTCTCAGCTCCTAACCCACTGTCCTGTTTCCTGCTTTGCTGTGCCTTCCAGTAGTAGCTGACCATTTGGGAACCAGTGTAAAGGGCCAGTGATGTTGGTGCTACTTCTTTCAAAGAAGACTTAGAATTGAAAATTTAAACAGATTTTTTTGAGGATGGGGTAGAGGTGGCACATATGGATAAGGAGAGATTATTTGGTGGGAGAGAACATTGTGTAGAGTCACATTTTTTTTATTTTTTGGCTAGAAGTCAAAAGAGATCAGTTGGGATACTTTTCTGAGGGAGCTCAAAGTGGCCAGCAATGAAGAATGCTGTGTAATAGGGCTCATTTTCTTATTTGCTCAGAGTTTTCATTGTTTATTTATTTATTTTTTATTGTCGCCAGAGGACTTTTTTTTTTTTTTTTTTAATTTATCTTTAGACAGAGTGGGAGGAAGAGAGAGAGAGAAACATCTGTGTGAGAGAGACACACCAACTGGTTGCCACCCACACCGAGGCCGGGGATGAACTGCAACCCAGGTATGTGCTCTTAGCGGGAACCCAACCAGGGCCTCTCTGGTCCGTGGGCCAACACTCTAACCTCTGAGTCAAACCGGCCAGGGCTTGCATTCGTTTTTGAAGTGGTTGTGTGGTATGGTAGGAAAAGGACTGGCTTTGGAGACACTGGAAATTGCAGATTTTCAGTGAAGGAACTATAGATCACGTAGCCCAGCTTTTTTTTTTTTTAATCCTCATCCGAGGACATTTTTCCATTTTTTGTACAGAGTGGGAGGGAGACAGAGGATGAGAGAGAGATGGAAACATCGATGTGAAAGGGACACATCGAGTGGCTGCCACCCGCACAACCAACCAGGGCTGGGGACAAACTGCAGCCAAGGTACGTGCCCTTAGCGGGAACCGAACCCGGGTCTCTCTTGACCGCAGGCGGACGCTCTAACCGCTGAGCCAAACCGGCCAGGGCACGTAGCCCAGCTTTTAAAAATTGAAACTCTTAATTGAGATAATTGTGTATTTATAAGATACAGTTCTAAGAATTAATACGGGGAGATTTGGCATACTCTTTACCCAGTTTCTCCCAATAGTAACATTTTGCAAAACAATAAATAGTACAGTATCACAAGTATATTGATACTGATCTATTTCTCAGCTCTTGTTCAGAGATCCCTAGTTTTACTTGTACTTGTGTGTGTGTATTTAGTTCTATACAGTTTTAGCACTTGTAGTTTCCTGTATCCTGCACCACAGTCAGGATAAAGAACAGTTTACTACCAGGATTCCTCATATTGTCTTTATAACCATAACCACTCCTTCCTTGTGTTCTCTCTAATCCCTGGGGCATTATCCAGTCTCCATTTCTAAGATTTTGTCATTTCAAAAATATGATATAGATGGAATCATACAGTATGTAACCTTTTGGAATTGGCTTTTATTCACTGAGCATAATTCCTTGGTGATACATCAAAGTTGTGTATGTACGATTTTTTTTTCCCATTGATTTTCAGCTAGAGAGGGAGGGAGGGATGGAGGATGGGGGGAAGAGAGAGAGACACACACACACACACACACACACACACACATCAGTGCAAGAAAGACACATCAATTGGTTGCCCCCTGCATGATCCCAACCAGAGCTGGGGATCGAATGGCAACCTAGGTATGTGTGTCCTTGACTGGAATCAAACCCGCAACTCTTTGGTCTTCGGGCCGACACTCTTAACCACTGAGCCAAACCGCAAGGGCTGTATGATCTTTTTGTTGCTGAGAAGCATCCATGGAATGGATGTGCCACAGCTTAAGCTTGTTTGACCAGCATCCACTTGTTGAAGGACATTTGAATTGCTCCCAGTTTTTGACTGTTACAGTAAAGCTGCCATAAACATTTGGGTACAGGTTTTTGTGTGAATGAACATATGTGTTCATTTCTCTAAATGCCATGTCACTGCTTGGTTGAATGGCAATTGTATGTTTAGTTTTATAAGCTACAGGCAAAAATGTTGCCATTTTTATTTTGTGGATGAGGTTTGCAGCTTGCTTGTAGGCTGTGTGACCCTGGGGGATGCCATGAAGCCTCCGTTTCCACATCTGTAAAATGGGATGCTGGTGGTAGTGACGTCATAGGGCTGTGGCCAGGAATGAGTGAGCCTGTCTGTGAAAGGTGTTCAGAACAGTGCCTGTGAATGAGACAGCTGAAGTGTAGGGTAGCAGAGACCATTGGGCATTGGTGTGGGATAATCCCAGGGGGATTTTGACAGTTCGAGGGAGATTATGAGATTGATTAGCTATGTGACCTTGGTGGCAAGTTGTTTTCCTCTCTGACCTGGTTCTGTAACTGTAATTTGAGGATTTTTAGTGTAGGCATGGCACCCAGTGGGTGCTCAGTAGTAGGTACTAGCTATTATTATTGTTATTAAAATAACTTTGAGTCTTAGACATGCTTCATAAGGGGTGGAGGTGGGTTAGTTAGCTGTGGAGTCTAGGTCTCCTTCACCTAGGCCAGTGCCCTGGTTAACTGTGTGGCCTTGAACAAGCCACCTGATCTCTCTAGCTTTGGTTTCCTTTGTAGCATGCAGCCACTCAATATTGTGTAAACCTTTTCCAGCGTTACCGGCCTGTGAGTCAGGTCTCCGTGTGCTCCATGCTCTCTTTACATGGTTCCTCTCTCAACCCTGAGAACACAGGGATGTTAATCGGACTTTTCCTGCTTTGCCTGGGGCTGTGTCTTCCCTACCCACTTTAGCTGAAGTCTGTGCGAGTGTATGTGCGTTCATTCACCAAGCTTTAACTAAGCACCGCGCAGTGGGCTTAAAGGCTGCCATTTCACAGATGGACAGGTCTGAGAGGGAGGGAGCCACAGTGGCTGAGCCTTGCCTGTGACAAGCATGGGATCTGTGTTGCATGGAGGGGGAGACTGGTGAACAGGTAGGTGACAGTCCAGCTTGGGGAGATAAACTGCGGCCCCAGGGGCTCTGACACCTGAGCACGTGACGCCTGAGAACTGGGCTGCAGGAATGAGAGGTGTACAAGGCATATCGTGGTTTTGGTTTTTGCTTGTTTCAGTTTACACGATGAAAGAATTTTGCTTTCTTACTTCCTGATTATTTCTTTCTGGCCATTTGATCTCTTGCTGTAACACAAACAATCTATTCAGGTACCTTCCTTCCAAGGAGCTCCCAGAATGAAGCCAGCTCAGGGAAGGGATGCTTTGTACTCTTTGTTTTACTCTTTCTCATCTTTCATTTTATTTTCATTTTCATTTTTTAAAAGTTGTTTTTACAGGCTTTATATCTTTTAAAAATATGTTTTTACTGCCTTTTTTTTAGAGAGAGAAGAAGGAAGAGAGAGAGAGAAACATCATTGTGAGAGGAGAAACATCAATCGGCTGCCCCCTGCGTGTCCCAGACTGCCTGACCAGGAATCAACCCAGGACCACTCAGTCCGTGGGACGACACTCATTCCACTGAGCCACACTGTCTGAGCTACAAGCTTTATTTCTTAGATCAGTTTCAGATTTACAGAAATTTGCATGTTTCTATAAGCCCTATTAATTTCTCACATGACTGTGGTACTACATTTGTCACAGTTAATGAACCAGTATCGATACATTGTCAGTATGTATCAATATTAACTAAGGTCAATACTTAATTCAGATTTTCTTAGATTTTTATTTTTTTATCCTCACTTGAGGACATTTTTGCATCCATCTTCAGATAGAGCGGGAGGGAGAAAGGGAGGAAGAGAGAGAGAGAAACATCTACGTAAGAGAGACACATCGACTGTTTGCCCACATGACCCCAACCGGGGCCGGGGACAAACTGCAACTGTGGTACGTGCCCTCAGCGGGAACCAAACCTGGGACTCTTTGGTCCGTGGGCTGACGTTCTAACCGCTGAGCCAAACCGGCCAGGGCAGATTTTCTTATTTTCTTAGCTTTTAACCTAGGTAGTGTCCTTTACTCCCCCAGGATCCCATCCAGATAGCACACAGCATGTATTTGTCCTGACATGCTTGGGCTCTCAGGCTGTGATGGTTTCCCTGAGTTTCCATGTTTTTCATGACCTTGACCGTTTGAGGAGTACTGGTCACATTGTAGAATGCTCCTCAGTTGGAATTTCTTGTTTTTTTGTGTTTTTTTTTTTCTCTCAAAAACTTGAGATTTTTAT